TCTGGTCTATTTATTTGTCTGAATGGTCAGGAGATTGAGACAAATTATATACTTGAAGGTAAACATTATATCCTCTAGGTCTTAGGAGGTATCTAAAAATGTCTTGGAACACAGTAGGTCTTATTATTTATTAAATAAATATACGATCATATTATTTGGTTTACCGCCAGCAAAATTTTGAAGAATATATTCCTTCAGAGAAATTAGAGTAAAGCAGACATCTCTGACCCCTCTGCTGTGACACCAAAGCCTTTGGCTTCATTTTGGCAGAAAAGTGTTACCATCAAATATTTCACTTATTCACAGACATTTCCCTGGCCCACTTGCAGGTAGGCAGGACTATGTGAATAGTTCTGGCCAATTAAATGGAAGTGGAAATTATGTGTGTCACTTCTCATCTGAGACAGTAAAAGGTTTATGCATGATTTTGCAAAGTTCCATGGCTGAGGAGGTTGTCAGCTCCAAATAGCAGAGCCCAGAGACAATGCGATGCCTAATTCGCCAGGGTCTCTGAATGCAGACCACTAAGATTTTGAGGTTATTTGTAGGTGTAGCACAGCCTAGCTGATCCAGACCAGTAGAGTAATACATTCCCTTTATGGCATTTACCACACTGCCTTATAGCCACTTTGTTACACATCTGCTACCCCACCTTAGCTAGTTACTCCTTATTTATTTTTGTAGCTTTATTGTAAAACAACACATAGTGGAAGAAACCATGATAACGTAAGAGTATTTTTTTAAGTTAAAAATTAGACTACAAATTTACGACAGCTGCATATGGTGACAAGATTAGTATAATTTAATTCAATTCAGTGCATCTACTGAGCAATAAGGGTTTGTGGCATGTTCTGTGCTGTCAATACACACATGAGTTGGTAATATTAACAATGATATTATTAATGATTATGAATAAGATGATATTAATCATTATTAGCAACATTAATAGTTTTAACTGCCTAAATAAACACAGTAGTATGAGATAATAGAAAATATATGTTGGTTTCTGTCCCTAGTTACTGGCACAGAGCTCCTGAAACCTTTGTAATTTCTGAAGTGATAAGAACATGGGAGCATCTTTTGTTTTAGTATTTGTCTTTGATCCCATGCCTGACACAGGGCTCCTAAAACTCTTGTAAATTTCTAAGTGATTAGAGCACTAGAAGAATCTTTTGTCCTAATGAATTGACTCTGAGTGGGCTTCTGGATGACTTGAGACATGATTAGAAGCTTGGAATTTTCATTCCCATCCCTCATCCTCCAGACAAGGGAGAGGGGCTGGAAATGGAGTTAATGATTGATCATGCCTATGTGAGTAAGTCTCCATAATACCTCAATAGTTTGGGGTTGGGAGAGCTTCCAGTGGGTGCACACATCCACACCAGGAGGATAAAAACCCGCCCCAACTGCACGGGGACAGAAGCTCCTGTGCTCTGGACCCACCCAGACCTCGTCCTATGTATCCTTTCATCTGGCTGTTCATCTGAATCCTTTATCACACCTTTGATAAACTGGTACATGTATGTAAGTGTTTCCCTGAGTTCTGTGACCTGCTCTAGCAAGTTAATTGAACCCAAGCAGAGGGTCGTTGGACCTTCCAATCTACAGCTAGTAGATCAGAAGCATAGGTGACAACCTGAGCTTGCAACTGGCATCTTAATGGTGTGTGTGAAGGGCAGGGGAGGGGTGGCAGTCTTGTGGGACTGAGCCCTGAATCTATGGGGTCTGACACTATCTCCAGGTACACAGTGTCAGAACTGAGTTAAATTATAGGACACCTAGGTGGGGTTGCAGAGAATTGCTTCGTGTGGGAAGAAACCTCCACACATTTGGTGACCAGAAATGTCATGAGTGAACTGTTCTGTGTGAATAGTAAAGGAGACTCACAGGGAAGGAACACACACTAGGGAAGAATGAGATTTTTCCCTACATAGGAGGAAGAAAAAATTGAGATTTTCCTTTACAAATATACTAACTGGGTACTTCATGATAATTTATTTCTGTATAAAAACATCAAGAAATGATATGATAATGTCTAGAGGTCTGGGTTTCAGAATATCAAAGCAAGAATGACCTCAATCTCCTAAATTTGCCAAATCGTAAACTGTGAAAATATCTTACACTTGAAGTAATATTATCAAATACTTTTATAGAGAATACATTTTCCAGTTATTTTACATCCATTATTTCAACTGATCCTCATAATAGCCTCATGATTTAGACAGTAATAATTTACTGATTCTTTGTATATGGAAACTGAGGCTACAAAATACTGACATGACTTTTCCATGGTCACACTAAGCTGATCTGATAAAAGGGTTTATAAGAAATTTTCTTTGACGTGCATATAAATGAGCTCAAGTTAACTTTATTTTCCATCTTACTAACCAGGATTTTGATATCAGACATATCTCCCCATCTATAGTAATGTCTATAAAGTGGAAGCCTGTACAATAAAAGATGTATCCAGTCATGATAACATTTCTAAGAATTTTCCATTTCCCCCCATATGACAAGGATTTGATGACATTAGCATCATTCTTTTTTTTAATGTTGGTCAAGAACATGACATTCCATTCCATATAAAGTAGAAAATCCCATTTCCTCCTGCAAGAAATGAAAGAAAGGCAGCCACCATGGGGAAGAGCATGAAGCTTCCTTTAAAAATAGAATCACCATATGATCCAACAATCCCACTCCTGGACATATAGCTGGAGAAAACTATAATTTGAAAATATACACACACCCCAGTGTTCATAGCAGCACTATTTACAATAGCCAAGACATGGAAGCAACCTAAATGTCCATCAACAGATGAATGGATAAAGAAGATGTGGTACATATACAAAATGGAAAGCCATAAAAAGAATGAAATGATGCCATTTGCAGCAACATGGATGGACCTAGAGATTATCATACTAAGTGAAGTCAGACAGAGAAAGACAAATACCATATGATATCACTTATATGTGGAGTATAAAAGAAATGATACAAATGAACTTATTTATAAAACAGAAACAGACTCGCAGACACAGAAAACAAACTTATGGTTACCAAAGGGGCAGGATAAATTAGGAGCTTGGTATTAGCAGATATACACCACTGTATATAAACAAGATAAACAACAAGGTCCTACTGTATAGCACAGGGAACTATATTCAATACAACACTGAATCAATATTGTTCGATAAAAAAAAGAAAAGAAATAAAGAAGCAAGGAAGGCAGATTGTTTTAAAGAATATCAGACAAGATATTCGATGGCAACTCCAGTCAACCATGTAAGAACGCGGTGATTAATTTAGCTGGACATTTTCCTTCATATTTTGCAGATATTTTCCATCTCCATTTTTATTTACTAATATTGCAATGACTTCAGTTTAGTGCCACCACGTGCTAATTTTATCCAAGTCACATGTAATTAACCCCTCAAAATCATCATCAAACATGGTAACACAGAATAGACCTAATTCCAATCTCAGGATGACTAGAGTATCACATTGTAGGGCATCTGATAAAAGTTAATTTAACTTAGTCGATAATTCTTCCACTCTTTACCTCATGGTAGCAAGTACAGTAACAGCAGATATGATTATTTTAAGGTCATCATAGTTAGGGATGTTTATTTTTTCTGTTAAAAGGATGGGTGATGTTTTTACACTGTTTCTAATGGGCTAGTCTCTTCTTACTTTTTACTGACTTCAAGAAAATCATTAGAGATGCCAGTGAATTTGTTAGCATATTCTCTTCACGTCGCAAGGTCCACATTTCCCAAGTTGGAAACTTCTATACATATCCATCTTTCTTAGCACTTCAGCCCCATTTGCCTCTTTTAATCAATAAGCTATATTGACAAAATTTTAATTATTCCCAGAAAGTGCACACCTGTTTTGATTTTTGTTATTTTCCTTTAGAGAACAAAATGAGTCAACTGGTTTAGTAGCTTACTTTGCTCCCTCTTTGAACTTCAGCTTTCTCCTCTAAGACAAAATAGTGTCTAACTTATTGATTCATTTGCAAAGAGAAAATTTTTAAAAATCAAAGAGTGAGATGAACTATCTAGCTCTGTTAACAAGTAGGCAAAGATGTAAAAGGCGATATAATCGGCTTGAAAAAAAGTTGTCTTATTTTAAGCAAACTCACATTGGAAAAGGCACTTCATAATTATAATCATGCATGAAAAGTACAGCAACCATCCAGGGTTATCTAAATGTGTCTGACTCTCAATGCTCCTTCATGCAAATAATAAAACCACCACTTCTGTGAACTCGCAAGCAATGCTGATCCATTCAGCCTGCTAAGAAGTCAAGTGTTTAACTATCTTCCTGTTCCATGATTTCGGCAAGGTTAACATCTATCTGAAAAACCCAAGGGATTCTGCCCAAATTAACTTACGATTGGGTATTTACACTCTCATTTTTCTCATAGTTTTATTTTACTGGTGTAATTGAGATGTAATAAATGTAGGGCATGTTGCAAAAGAAAAGCAGGTGAATAAATACCTCCAAATCCAGCTAGAGGAGACCCCCTTTCATCTCAGCCTACTGCTAAGGAAATAGATTAGATCCACATTTTCTGAACTCTCCCATCTAAATTGCTAGAACTAAGAAGGGATGTGGCATACCCAACTACAGAGTATTAGTTTAGGAAAACCAAAATCAATCTAAAAGAATAACATCTTTCAAGTTAAAACACACACACACACACACACTCACAAACATTTTCTTCAAAAGATAAGGGCAACAAGGAGACAATAAATTAGATGTGATGGTTCCAGTTCTGGGACTCTATACTTTTAAATTCTAAAACAATTAGGCAAATATTTAGCGTATACAAACGAGTGGAGTCACGATAACCGACAGACTACATCACGTACTAAGGTCGTTAAACTTAGCTTTTAGAATTATAGAAATGATATCCTACCCTCATTTTGGACAAGATTGATTTTCCAGTATAAAAAGGCTGAAAAAGAATAAGAAATAAGAAGCATAAAAGTACTTACAACTGATCGGATGTTATTTTCTTTCACCAGTTTCAGAGATGATTTATAGCAATTTGCAAGGTCTTCCTTGTGGGAACCATTAATATGGCCTCTGGCTATTGGTCCTACGGTATGGATAACATCTGTAAATACAAAAGGAAGGAAAAATAGGATAAGCAAGATATTTTTCACTTTTCACATAACTGGTGCTTTATTTATTTTAGGTATTTGTGTTGGAGCTTGGAGACAAGCAAGCTAAGAAACACTGATGATGCAAATGCTTCTCTGGTAAAAGATTTTAGATAGCACAGCTTTTTAAAGTAGGCAAATTTCCAGGAAGGTGATAATTGTGAAAAGGAATCCCCTACCAGTAAATTGTTCCATCGCTACTGGTCAGATCCAAGCATAACAGATTATAATATAAGGTGTGAATAATTGGCACGCTGGCAGAAGACAAATCCTCAGTGGGAAATAAACTGAGAAATAGTTGCCTGCAAAATGAACATTCTGAATTGACATGGGAAGGAAGTACCAATCTTACACATCACCTTACTTATAAATAAGACAATAGTATCAGGCATTGTACACAATATAGAAGGGCAAGTTTCTGGAAATATGTCAAAAGAATTTATAATAATCAGTAATAACACTAAAAGGGTTATTTTTTAATTTAATTTATTTTTTAGTACAGCAGGTTCTTATTAGTAATCTATTTTATACATATTAGTGTATACATGTCAATCCCAATCTCCCAATTCATCACACCACCACCACCACCCCTTTCCCCTCTTGGTGTCCATATGTTTGTTCTAAGTCAATAAAGGTTGTAAGAAATAGACCAAATTTTAATCCAAATTACTTGAAAATGCCTTGTAACTCCTGCTTCTCAGTCTTATCTGTTAATCTGGATTATAAACTTATTTAAATGATGTGAATAACAATAACTAATCAACTTTGATCAAAAAAGAAATTCGGTCATTAGAATATTATAATGAAAATAAATGACTTGCTTTGGCTAATCAGTATCACTTAATTTCAAAAACAGTAACAAGAGAATAAGAACGCTTTACCAAAATGCGACTATGGAATAGTTTTAAATTGCATATGAAATTTAAATAGCAGAAAATAAATCACTAAGAGAAAGATCTTTGTTAATTGTCTGCTAAATGTCGAGAGTATTATTTAATGTTGAGAAAATCCCCAAATGTTGATTTCAACTTTTAATGACTTTAAACAGTATTTAAACCCTTGTCAGATAATGTTGAAGATGATATCTTGTGATCAAAATAGGCAGAAACCTCATTAGTGAGTTTATGCAGATGTTATTTCACAGACAAACCTGGCTTTAAAGTGAGAACCGCTATGACATATTAATAGAACGAGAGGAAAAAGGGAGATTAGGTTGTATTTAGCAAAAAACAAAACAAAACCAAACAGACACACACACACACTAATATTGTTTTTGTAATAACAAACAAGAATTGCAACAAGATGTCCCAAAGCAGGTTCAGTAAGATATGGGTTTAAAGGTCAATTAAATTTGGGGATCACCAGGTGAGATTAAGTCAATCAGTTACCTTAGTGTAGGGTTCCTCTGGACACTTAGGATGCTACAATGAATTGTGAGTCTCCACAAGGGAGGGGCGTGATGAACACAGAATGCTCTGTTTCCAAAATACATTTGACTAAACCTAAGGTTTGCAGATTCCCTCATGGGCCTAAGTTTCCACAAATTAACCTGTGTCCTGTTATTCCAGGGCAATTTTGGCACCCTCCCCCTTGCCATTGTTGAAGGTGAAATCTATGTTTTTTGTTTCTTTTATTTATTTTCTTAAACCTCATTCCCAGTGCCTCTGTCCATCAAATACCATATAAAAGAGCAACAGGATATGACCTTGGTTTCCTTATTTTGTGGATGGAGAAGGTCAAGAATAAATGTCTCTTATCCAGGTCATAAAGATGTGTCTACTTTTGCCAAGTGAACACAGGGCTTAGGGGCATTAATGGGAAGACGAGAGAGAGAGAGAGAGAGAGAGAGAGAGAGAGAGAAGTCCATAAGGGCTGGAAATAATGACATAATAAATAAATGTTTCCTTTGCTTTCTCCCTTAGCCATCTTTCTCTACAAAACTTACATGGAATTTTTGAAAACTTATTCCTTGCATTTCTTCACTTCTCCATTTAATTTAAGTTGGAGGACAAACAGCCAATAAAAGAGCATCTTCAACATCAAAATATTGATCTCTGTTGGTTATGCTCTGCATTAAATTTACAGCATCCAAGATTATGTTATTATTATCATAATCGACCAGTATCACAACCTCTCAGATCCACAAACCTATAAGCCTCGAAAGGAAATTTTCTTCATTATTTTAATTGTTTATAGTACTTATGGGTGACTCTGACACACCAAGGAGTTCCCCCTTTTCCTGTTATAAAATTCAGTCAGGAGGCCTGTTTTCTGATTCCAGCTCCAGCCCTGACTAGTGGAGTAACCCAGATGAAGCCATCCTTTCATTGGTCCCTGCCTTGGTTTCCTTATCCACAAAATGAATCAGCTGCTTAGATGATCTCTGTGGTCTCTTCTGTGCTTGTGGCATCATTAGTATTTAACCTTGTAATGGAGACAGATGGAGTACAGAATGATGTCTGGGCAGTTAAAAGGACTTTAAACACTGTTAAGTGGCTCTCAAGCATTTTGAGTATAAGGATCCTCTTTTTCATATCAAAAGTCTTATGGTCTACCCTTTCACAGTAGTAGTTTCAAAATCCACTGATTGAGAACAAGTTAGAGAAAAACAGCTATTAAAACCTCAATGATGCTTTGTATTAATTTACATTTTATTAAACACAATACAATCTTCAGAGTGGACATATGCATGTGAGATACACGAGATACATGCATTCAATTTATGCAATTATCTTGCACATGAATTTGTGGATTCCATGGTATAAATAAGATAATGTAAATAGAAGTGTTTCATCTGATGCCTGGTACAGGCAGACACTCAAGAAATACTAATTATCAGCAGCAGCGGCATCCCAGGCATCCTGAGCATACAGGCAGGAGTGGCAGTTACCTTTCCTCTGGTGTGGAAAGAGCACCAGACTGTAAGCCCTAAGATCTGATTATAATTGTCAGAAGTCCCAGATCTGTCACTAACCAGCTGTTGACCTTGGGCAAGTCATTCTTCTCTTTGGGCTTTGGTCTTAAAACCTAAAAGGAGTTGAATAAGATGGCCTCTAAGATTCTTTGCAGCTCTCAAATACAATCCCTCTGCTACATGTCTATCAAGAATTAAGCTATAGTTTCTGAGTAGTCTAATTCACTACTTTCCAGACAAATGAACATCAGTCATGGTTCAATTTTCTCCAACATGCCTATACAATGAAATGCAAACTGGCACCATTCCCAGAGACAGTGGTTAACCATATCTTTCCAAATTACACATGTAGACTCCTTTTGGTATAATAATTCGATTTCTAGGAATATATTCTGTGGATGATATGCTTGGAGACAACCTAAATGTCCATCAGTAGGGGACTAGTGAAATAATTGTACATTTATACAATGAAACATTATGCTTCTGTAAAAAGGACAATGAAGGTATTTATGTATGAATATGGAAAGATATTCAGGATATATTACTATGGAAGAAAAAGAAAGAAACAAAGAAATAGAGAGAGAGAAAGAGAAGGAAGGAAGGAAGGAAAGGAGGGAGGGAGGGAGGGAGGGAAGAAGGAAGGAAGGAAGGAAGGAAGGGAGGGAGGGAGGGAGGGAGGGAGGGAGGGAGGGAAGGAGAGAGGGAAGAAAAGAGATGCAGAAATGTTAAGCATGGTACCATTAGTGTAAAAATACCTCCACAGATGTAGAAAAGAATGCATATTTGTTTTAATATATGTATAAAATATCTCTGGGAGGATAAACAAGTAATTAACAGCAGTGGTTAACCTATGAAAACTACAAGGATAGGGCCAAATATGGGAAGAAGATACTTCACTGTTTACTAATATTTTTGATGTTCAAATTATGTGAATGTGTTACCTATACAAAAATTAAGTATTAAAACAAAGATTATATGGTTAAACCAAGTTCCTGAATTCCATCTACCATATTCCTACAACATATAAAGACTGTTAATGTGCTCTCTAAAGATGATCTTATATCACTATAAATAAGAAAATACACTTAAAAATATTTACATAATTTCAAGGGATTTAAAATAATAACTCCACTAGGTATATTTTTCTTTTATTTTGCTACTCTCAATAATCTCTTTATATAAAACAATTATTTTCAGGGTTTAAATGGTAGGAAAAATGGCATTTTTTACCTATATGGCTTATATCTATATTTAAAGTTTTACTATAATTTTAATATGCAAATTGAGTCTTAGATACCTTACAGTGAATATGTAGGACAGGAACATATTTCTCAGGTATCTCTGTTACCAAAGAATTTTGTATAATGGTCAAGAATTTTTAGAGATGAAAAGGACAGTAGAGAAAATTTAATCTATTTTCCCTTGCTCAGTGGATCCACAGGAGAAAGAATTATGCCCAAAGTCACAGGTCAGTGTGGGGAGACACACTATCACAGAGACAATATGATTATGAATAAACTTTTCCCAGTGTGGCTACTTATTGAACGAAATGGCATACATTTGTATATATAAAGTTTGTCATGCTTATCATGAATTTCATTACTTTAGCCTCATACTTTGTATACATGAAAATTCTGATTGGCTATTGCTGTGCAAGAAATTACCCCAAAACATGATAACTTAAGACAACAACAACGCTTTATTATTTTTTATGGCTTTTCTGGATCAACAATTCTGAAATGGCTCAACTAGGGGGTCTGGCATGGAGCCTCTCATATGGTTGTAGTTGGGTAGTGGCTGGCAGTGGAATAGTGTGGGTTCCAGCAGCTAAGGACCGGCCCGCCAGACATCTCTCCCTCTTCCTGTGGTCTCAGGGACTTTCCATGGGGGCCAGTTTGGGTTTCCTTATGGAAGCCTCAGAACAGTCAGCTTGCTCACATGACAGCTCAGGGCTCCAAGACCAAGTGCGCCAGAGGTGGAAGCTGTGTTATCCTTTCTATCCCAGCCTTGGGAGCTGTTACCACCACTGTACCCTGATTG